TTCGCGCGTCCGAATTAGGCTATTTTTTCGGATTCGGCTGCGAATCGAAATTTTTTCCGATATTTCGACTCGAATTCCACTTCGGCTACTTCGATTCGCTCATCTCTAATTATAACAATACAGTACACAATAACGTCAGTCCTTCAATAAAATAATAATTTTTTTGCACTTTGCTAGCAGTGATTGAATTAATAAATGTTGCAATATCTTCTAATAAAATTGTGCTTCAAATCACCATACACTGTGCAAATCCTATCACCTGACATGCAGATGCCCTCAATCTTCTTTATGTGACCTAAAAATATTTCCCCTTTAATCCAGGGTTGATACAGCCCTGACTGGTTCCCCCACTCAGCAACCTTCAGGAGTTTCAATTCACATCCATCCCATGGCTCTTAAGACATTTTCTTCATTCCAGGCTCCAAAAAGATCATCCTAGTGTTTTTCCACTTCCACCAATATTTTATTAACATTATTAACCATTTCCATACCGGGCACTTTTACCCCCTTCCTGCCCAGGATGCCATTTTTCAGGTTTCAGCGCTCTCACACTTTGAATGACAATTGCGCGGGTCATACAACAAACTAAAATTTTATCATTTTCTCTCACACACAACTTGAGCTTTCTTTTGGTGGTATTTAATCACTGCTGGGTTTTTTATTTTTTGCTAAATTAACAAAAAAAACGAAAGACCAAAAATTTTGAAAAAAAAACCACGTTTTTCTTTTGTTTCTGTTATAAAAGTTTGCAAATAAATAATTGTTCTTCATAAATTTAGGCCAAGATGTATTCTGCTACATGTCTTTGGTGAAAATAACCCAAAATTTAGGATGTATTATTTAGTTTGTAGGAAAGTTATAGAGTTTCACAAACTATGGTATAAATGTCTGAATATTGATCAATCCTGAAGTACTGACAGCCAATCTAATTTCTTGAGGTCCAAGAATGTCAGATTCAGTACAGATATCCCCCAAATGTCAGGACGGTACAGATATCCCCCAAATGTCCCCTTTTTGCAGAGTAGACAGTCCAACATACTTCAAAAGAGGCATGGCGAATTTATTGAAGTTGTATTTCTTGTCATAATTTTTCGGAAAATGAAAAAAATTATTTTTCACTATTTTTTTTTTTTACATACTGTCACCAGTGCAGTACAGCGTCATCATATAACTGGCATGGCGGTGATCAGGGACACTGACTGGTGACAGTATGAACAAAAAATATATATATATATATATACTATATATATTTTTTTTTTTTTTAATTTTTAATTATTTTATTAATTTTTTTCTTTTTTTTTAACATTTTTTTCATATTTCACTATGTCCCAAAGTAGTACAATGTTACCATAGTAACATTATACTACTTTGGGGAAGTGACCAGTATTTATTTATTTTTTTGCCAAATTTGCTTTTAGCAAATGACATCGATTCATTCAGGTTTTTTTATTTTTTTTTTATTTTTTTTGCGCTTAGCTGTGATTTTTGGCCACAGCTAATCACATGACATGAGCATGTGATCGCTGCTGACCATTCACAGCTAGACACTAGTATAACAATGGATGGCATGAAAATGAAGCCATCCATTGTATACAACTGTCATGTGACTTGCTGTAATTGGTCACAGGGAGCAGGTCACATGGTACCGGCAACATATGGGGCCGGTACGCAGATCTGTCATCGGCCGTGTCCCGAGGTACACAGCCAGTGACAGATGATCGAGCGATCTGCTGCGCGGCTCTGCAAGCGCGAAAACTGAGCCATGCCCGGCGAGGACGCCATATGGGGTCCACCCGGAAATCTACACAGCATTTTGGCCGGCCGCCAAATGGCTATTGGCCTGGGCGGCTATTGGTTAAAAATATCACTCACATTTATCTGTATACAAATCTGGTGCACCACAGTAAAAAAGTAGTGCTTGTCCCTTAAGGTATTGTATTTCTGGTGAATAACAAGATGGTGGTGGTCCTGCTCGTATCCAGTTCTGCAGAATTGACATCATTGGCTCCTCCCTACGCATTACGTCACAGCCGTCACGTGGGCTTTGCAGCAGACGTAACCGCGTAGGGAGGAGCTGATGTCATGCTGCAAAACTGGACGTGAGACAATTTTAGAGACAGCACAATTGCTTATATCTTGAAATAACTGCGTAGCAGTGTTTATAAACATTGTTTTAGTTAAAGTGGTAGTAAACTATCATGTTGATTTTTTACTAACAGGAAAGCTTATAATAACGCTTACCTGTAGGTAAAATGAATATCCCCTAAAACTTTCACCATTTAGGAGATATTCTGGGGAGCATACCCGTGCCGTTCCTTCAGAGCTTACTGTGCCATGGCCATGATTCCCACATGCATACGCAGAGAGAGTACGACTTCTTCATGTGTTTGGCCATTCAGCAGTGGAAGCAGCCGCAGTCCACAAATCCAGAAGGAAGACCAAGGGTGAAGACAGATGCCTCTGCAGTGGTGACAGCATGCTGCTGGAGGGCTTTGTTCTCAGGTAAGTCTTTTCATAATGTGCTAATATGCGATTATGAAAGATAAATAAATTTGGGCAATGCTGCAGACAGATCTCCATACAAGAATGTTTATTTGTCTTGCAATCTCAGGGAGCCAGTACTGTCTAAGTTCCTGAACTAGAGCAAACATGCAGATCACAAAAAACTTTGGGTAGGTCAGAACCCCTCATCAGCTATTACTGATGTAGCGATTCCAATATTGAAACGCTCCAGCGTGACTCCTTTTTTTTTCTAATTTAGGTTGAAAAACAGAGGAATAAGCACCTCACCATTCCCTGATATTGTTCTGTATGTAACTAATAGGAGAATGGCCTGGAGAAGTGTTGAATAAAATCTTTTCTGTCGCGAAAACCATCTACAAACTACGTGAACAAGCCAAAACCAACAAGAAGCTTTGTAAAAATCTAGAACAGAGGATCGAGCTGCTTACAATGCCTTTAAGAAAGCTAGAGAATGATCTGGAAAAAACAAAAGAAATGGTAAGACACGTTGAGGGCATTCCTATCCAACCTGGAGATGGCCAAAAAATGGATGGAGACCTATACTGGAAGCTGGTGGAAACAGCATTTCTAGTTCTCAGCAGCTACAGAAAGATCTGTCACATTAATGCTCAACTAAGTGAGACTGCTGAAGCCTTACAAATCCTTCTGAAAGTGGAAGATAGAGACACGTTTCTCCAAATTTTCAAAAAATCCATATGGAAGGATATCCAAGAAGCTATTGACAATTTGGAGCAATTATTCAAGAGTAAGTACGATTTCACAACTCAAATTACCAGCACGTTTTATCACATCAGATGCTTAGTGGGGCTCTGCAGTAGACATGAGCTTGAAATTTCAGTAAACAGTTTGAAAAAAGTTTGCGATAATGTTCTCTCATTTCTAATGCAGTGCCATGCGAAAAATTAAATGCTTACAATTTGAAGCTGTCCCTCAAAAAAACGGGTAGCTTAAAGAGAGCACCAAATCATTATTTATTAGAGTCCAAAGCACTCTCTGTCACTTTACGACAAAGGTACACTACCACAACCATTTCATTGAAAGGACCATGAGCTTATAGCAGAAGCAGGAATGTGAGGAATGTCAGGTTGTACAAAGGGATGGACTGACAACTCATGGGGCCCCTGGGCAATAGGAAATCAGGGGCCCTTGTGTCCTCACCCGCACTCAAACCACACCCAAAAAAAGCCTATGAAAGGTACCAGGGGCATCTCATGGGCCCCCTACTGACCCGGGGCCCTCAGGCACTGACTGAGCACCTAAATGGACAGTCCTGCCCCTGGTTGTAACAGCGTATGGACCTGGCCAGCTGGAAGCAGTGCTCTAGGTCCGCATGCAGGGCCGGATCTAGCCTGTCTGATGTGGGGGGTGCAGTAAAAAATGTCAGGGGGGGCAGGGGATGTAAGGTCAACATGGCAGTGTATTGGAGTCAGAAAAGTAGTGTACAGGGGTCAGCATAGCAGAGAAATAGGGTCAGCAGTTTTTAGGGCAGAGTACAGAGACCGTTAATTTGCAGGGCAGTGTACAGTGGGTTATCAAGGCAGTGCATGGAGTTAACAGGGCAGCGGACAGAGGTCAGCAGTGGAGTGCACACAAGAGGGCAGTGTACAGGTGGTCTGTAGGCAGGGGCGGACTGACAACTCATGGGGCCCCCGGGCAATAGGGGATCATGGGGCCCCTGTGTCCCTGCCCAAAATAAAAAAAAATAAAAAGCCTATGAAAAAGGTACCAGGAGCATCTTATGGGGGCCCCCTACTGACCCCGGCCCTCGGGCTGTGCCTGAGTTTTCAAAATGGTCAGTCCGCCCCTGTCTGTAGGGCAGGGGTCAGCAGGGCAGAGAACAGGGGTCAACAGAGCAGATGACAGAGGTCAGCAGGATGGATAACAGGTGTTATCAGGTCAGAAGACGGGTCAGCAGAGCAGGGTACAGGGGTCAGCAGAGCAGGGTACAGGGGTCAGCAGAGAAGAGGACTGGGTTTACTGGTGGCAGATCACTCAGCAGAGCTCCTACTCCCATCCCCACACTGCACATAGCCTGGGCACTCAGCCAATCTCTCCCCCTCCCCACACAGGACACAGCTCAGATCAGATTCCCTTACAGACATAGCCTTGATCTGCAGTTTGTAGCTGGTCGCCTCAGCTGTGCTGCCATTCAGATCTGGAAATTTCACAGGTCAGAACTGCAACATAGCAGCCTGCTATACACTATGCAGACTGAGGCTGTGTGTCTGTAAGAGATCCGATCCAAGCTATGTGCTGTGTGGGAGGAGGAGATCTGTTGAGTGACCTGAGTGTAGTTTCAGGCAGTGCTGGGACAAGGTCATGTAGATGACAAACTGCGCCTCTGAAGCATGAACAACTGTCTCAGCATAAATTTGCTCCCCATCAAGAAAAAAAAGACTAATTAGTAGACACTTTCTCTAAGCGTAAATTCCATCCGCAAGCTAAAATTCTTTCGCCCAAAAGAAATGCAAAAATCCCCCTCCTCCCAGGTTCAAATCCACCCTCCCAGTAAAAATATTTGCCCTCCAATCCTGCCTTCCAGCTCAAATCCCACACCACTTCTCCCCCCTCCTACCACAAACCTCCATCACCCCCCAAAAATCACCCCTCTTAGCACACATTCTCTTTCTTCACAAATTTCACATCCTAGCTCAAATTAGCTCTCAAAAATTTCCCCCTCCTATTAGAAATCCCCCAAAATTGCACAATCCCCCCACCACCACCAGTCACCCCTATTAACCCAAATTCCCCCACCCCTCCTGGCACAAAATCCCCCCCCCAATCCCCCCTCACAGCACAAATCCTCACTCCCCCCTAATCCCCCCGTGTCCTAGAAAACATTCTCCCAATCCCTCCCTCTAGCACATATCCCCCCAATACCCCCTTAGTACAAACCCCCCAGCACAACAATTCCTCCCAAACCCTTCTGGCTCAATTCCCCCAAACCCCATCCTAGCACATTTTATTACCCCCATCCCTCCTTTTAGCCCAAATGCCCCCCCCCTCATCTTGCAGAATCTCCCCCCCCCAATCCCTCCACCTAGCACAACCCCCTAAAAATTACTTTTTCTAAACAAAAATCCCTTGACAATCCCCCATTTTACCACAACCTACCAGCACAAAAATTTTCCCCCAATCCCCCCTCCTAGAACAAATTCTCCACAGTCCCCCCCCCCCCCCAGCACACTCCTCCAAATGACCTTTCACAGGACAAATCCTCCCTCCCTCCCCAAATCCTCCCAGTCCTCCCTCCTAGCATAAATCTCCCCCCAATACCCCCTTAGTACAAACCCCCTCTGCACATACATTCCTCCCAATCCCCCATTTTAGCCCAAATTCCCCCACCTCCTTTCTTGACAATCCCCCCCAAAAACAAATTCCCCCAATCCCTCCTCTTAGCACGACCCCCTACAAATTACCTTACAAACTCCCCCTCCTAGCACAACACCCCCCCCCCTCATCTTACCACAGCCTCCCAGCACAAAAATTCCCACCAATCCCTCCTCCTGGCTCAATTCTCCTTATATCCCCCTCCTAGCACATATCATCCCTCCCCCATTCCTCCTCCTAGCACAATTGCCGAATTCCTCCAACTCCCCCTTCCTAGCACATGCTCACCCACCTTTCCCCTCATCTTACAAGGGAGCAGGTGTGGGTTGTGCCTTCCCCTCCTATCAGAACAGCGTTCCTCCACGTGACAGATAACACAGGATCGCTCTTCTGGGCTGCACATGTGGTTTTTATTACCCGCTCCCCACCCACGTGTCCTGCTGCTGGGTGATGAGTAGCCTTTGGAGAACATAGGGAGCGGGTAATGAAACCGTGTGGGCAGCCCCACGGAAGAGTGATCCTGTGTTATCTGTCGCTGTTTTCTAATAGGAGGGGAAAACACAACACCTGCTACAGCCTCTTTCCTCTCTGCCACGCCTCATTTTAGGTCTTTTCCCTTCCTTTGTAGGCTTGCAACCGGTGTCGACTGCGGGGCTAGAGGAAAGTAGTCAGGCAAAACATTCATTGGGTGGCTGGCCTGGGGGGCACAATGGAAATCTGGGGGGCGTAGCCCACCCCAGCACCCCCCCTAGATCCGGCCATGATCAGGTGCTGCCCTGGGGGGGCACAATGGAAATCTGGGGGGGTGTAGCCCACCCCAGCACCCCCTAGATCCGGCCATGATCAGGTGGCTGGCCTGGGGGTTGCACAATGGAAATCTGGGGGGGCACAATGGAAATCTGGGGGGCGTAGCCCACCCCAGCACCCCCCTAGATCCGGGCATGATCGGGTGGCTGGCCTGGGGGCACAATGGAAATCTGGGGGGGCACAATGGAATTCTGCGGGGTGTAGCCCACCCCAGCACCCCCCTAGATCTGACCATGATCAGGTGGCTGGCCTGGGGGCACAATGGAAATCTGGGGAGGCGTAGCCCACCCCAGCACCCCCCTAGATCTGGCCATGATCATGATCAGGTGCTGGCCTGGGGGGGGCATAAATGGAAATCTGGGGGGCATAGCCCATCCCAGCACCCCCCCTAGATCCAGCCATGTCTGTACGCTGTACAGACCTGGCAGCAAAAGGGTTAAACCTCTATCTTTTTTGCTTTCCCATTGACTTCATTGAATTATGTCTATGAGTAAACTTATGATGCATATTTGACAAGACGAAGCTGTCCAGTTAGCTCACGCCTACTCTATATCAAGTCTTATGTGAGAATGTTCCATTTTTGTACAGGTGAAAAATAAGATCTTTTGGTAAAAAGATGGACGCATTTGTTGACCAGGTAGACCACAATCATCAGGAGATACTAGAGCTATGTAAGTATCAGACATAATTATATCATCCAACATTGATCCCTAACCCATTGAGACATCTGAGCCAGCTATAATGAGATTCTGATATCCAGGAAGGCTCACAGGAGTGAAAACAATTAAAAATATCTTGCAGGAACAATATTGAGGGGGCAGAAGGTAAGGGCCCAGTCATATTAGAACGGCCTTTCTCAACATTTGGAATGGAGAAATGTTAGGGTTTTTAGGGAACCCCTGTTAAGAAGGATAATATCTACAGTTCTATATACAGTATTTATAGGTAAAGTTGATCCAAGGTATATCAAGGATCAGGAAGGAATTTTTATCCTCCGCTGGAGCAAACTGGATAATGCATTCTTGGCGTTTTTCCGCCTTCTTCTGGATCAACTGTGGGTATAGGATCATGTGTATATATTACGATTGGTCATTTTCTAGTGGTTGAACTAGGTGTCTTTTTTCAACCAGACTAAGTATGTAACTAATAATTATAATACAACAGCATTAATGAGAGATTGAAGAACATTTGGAATAAAAGAATAACCAATGTGGTATACCTAGTGTTTTTGACACCCAAGGCAGATAATTTTGCTACCAACGCTCTACAAACTTATTTTCAGTAATAATCTTGAAACACATATTTACATAGTTGGTAAGGTTGAATAAAGACAATAGTTCATCCAGTTCAACCTGTATAGGTGGGTGTGTGTTCATGTCAAAAACTCATATCCCTGTATATTTTGTTCATTAAGATACCCATTTAAGAGTTCTTTGAAACTAGCAATACTTCCGGCTGACACCACCAATTGTGAAAGTGAGTTCCACATCCTTATCACCCTATCAGTGGCGCCGTGTCTTCTTATACTCCCTGAGACAGAATAGTTTATTCCTTATGGTAGAATCACTATTGAGATATTTGTATATCACTATCATATCTCCTCTTAAGTATCCCTTCTCCAAGGAGAATACGTTTAATGTGTGTGGCCTTTTCTCGTAACTGAGGTCCCCCCGGACCCTTATTAACTTTGTTTCCCTTTTTTGGACCCTCTCCATTTCTAGCACACATTTTTTGAGGACTGGTGACCAGAACTGGACATACTCCAGATGTGGTCGAACCAGAGTGTTGTAAAGTGGCAGGATTATCGTTTTATCTCTGGAGTAAATACCCTTTTTTAATGCATGCTAATATTCTGTTAGCTTTGCTTGCTGCAGCTTGGCATTGCAGGCCATTGTGTCATCTACAAGGACCCCCAGACCTTTTTCCATCCTGGATTCCCCCAAAGGTTCTCCTTCTGACATGTAACTTGCATTCATATTTTATGCCCCTACTTGACATTTTCAGCATTAAACCTAATTTGCCATGTAGCTGCCCACTCCTTAATTTTATTGATCTCTTTTTGTAAGGTTTCTATATACTGCTCTGACGTTATTGTTCTACTCAGTTTTGAATCGTCAGCAAATACCGAGATTGAGCTATTTATACCAACCTCTATATCATTTATGAAAAAAATAAAAAGAATTGGTCCCAGGACGGAGCCCTGGAGTACCTCACTCACCACTCCAGAACAGTTTGAGTAAAAGCTATTAATCACCACCATTTGGATGCGCCCCCTGTAACCAGTTTTCTATCCATTTACAAACCCTATGGCCCATGCCTACAGACCTCAGTTTGTAATATAAACATTTATGGGGAACTGTATCGAATACTTTAGAAAAATCCAGGTACCCCACATCCAATGCCCTTCCTTCATCTACATGGCCGCTCACTTTCCTCATAAAATGCTAACAGGTTGGTTTGGCAAGAAGGAGCTTTCATAAAGCCATGTTGATTACTACTACTATCAGCAAAATTTTGGATATAGTCCCTTATTATCCCCTCCAATAGTTTACATACTATTGATGTTAGACTGACTGGCCTGTAGTTTCCAGGAATGTATCTTTGCCCTTTTTTAAATATTGGTACCACGTTGGCTCTTTGCCAATCAGCTGGTACTATTCCTGTTAGTATGCTGTCCATAAAAGTTAGCAAGAATGGCCTGGCAATAATATGACTATAATATATGAGTCCTTTGAGGACTCCTGGGTGTAAGTTTTTCAAGTCTTTTTTGGATACCGCCTTCTGTAAGCCACAAGGGTGCATTCTCTGATACGTCACTAATGATGCAATGTGGACTACTTTACCCTCCTTTTCCTTAGTAACAATTGAGGAGAAAAATGCATTTAGTACAGTTGCCTTTTCCTTGTAGTGTCGGAATGCTGTCAATGACCCCTCTGCCTTATATTTTTTTAAAAGCCATTTTTTTCTCTTTAATGTTACTTTTTACGTTAAAGTTTAGCCACCCAGGTTTAATATTAGCTCCTTTATTTTTGTTGCCTATTGGGATACACTGGCTAATACCTCCAATTAATGTGTTCCTAAAGTACTCCCATTTTTAACTCCGTGTTTAATGTTTCAAGAATTTGGTCCCATTTAATATCTTGGATTATTGTGCGCAGTTTAGGAACGTTGGCTCTTTTGAAATGGTGTTTTCTCGCATTAACCACGTCCCTCAATGTTCTATGATTTATGCTAAATCCAATTATCCTGTGATTGCTAATTTCCAAGCTATCCTGTACCTCTACATCTGCAACCAGATCTGTGTTATTTGTAATTACTAGATCTAGTAATGCATGCTTTCTAGTAGGTGCAACCACCAATTGGCAAATGAAGTTGTCCTGTAGAACATTTAAGAAGTTATGGGCCTTAAAAAAATTTGCTGTTCCTTCTGCTAAGTCAATATCTGGATAGTTGAAGTCCCCCATAATGATGACATTGACAGGAGATCCAATTCCTCCTAATCCTTCCAGGTAGGGGGCCTGTAGCATACCACCACTATTAATTTCCCGTTTATTTCTTCCATTTGAAGCTCCACCCATAGGGACTCCATCTACCCCCTTGCTACATTTGCAATGTCGTTCCTCATGTTCACAAGCAAATCTTTCTTGATATACAGGCATACCCCTCCTCCTCTTCAACTCTTCCTGCTCCTCCGATATAAGGAATACCCATGGATAGTTGCCAGCCAGTCATGTGAGCTGTCAAAATCCTCCTTGTGCATCAGCAGCCCCAGTTCTTCCATCTTGTTAGCTAGACTTCTAGCATTTGTGTACACGAGTATTATTTCCTCATTAGTTGTTCTTTGGCTGTGATTATGTATTGCCAACCCACTTCCCCCTTGTTTAGGTATTATTGTTATACTCCCTCTAAGGCCTCCATTACCACCCACTGACTTTTGCACACTGATAGCAATTGTTTCTTCTGATTCCTTCCCCCTGACCACCTAGTTTAACAGCCCCTCTAACCTTTTGGCCATCTCCCCCTACAGAGCTGCACCCTCCGCACTAAGGTGCACTCCATCCTTACTATAGAGCCAGTAACCGACTGAGCAGTCAACCCAGTTCTCCTGGAACCCAAAACCCTCCTTCCTGCAGCAATTCCTCAGCCACTTGTTAAGCTCCTGCTGCCTCTCTGGTGAGGCTCGGGGTACAGGCAGTATTTCTAAAAATATCACCTTGGAGGTTTTTTCTTCAATATACCCCCAAAGTCCCCGAAATCATTTTTTAGGACACTTCACCTTCCTCTAACTTTGTCATTTGTACCAATGTGTACCATTGCAGCTGGGTCTTCCCCAGCCCCACCCAACAATCTGTCCATTTGATCCACAGTATGCTGAACCCGAGCGCCTGGTAAACAAAATACTGTTTGGCTATAGCGGTCTTTATGACAGATTGCCTTATCTGCCCTTCTAATAATTGAGTCCCCTACCACTAGTAACTGCCTAGGCCTGCCTGTATCCTTGCCCCTCTCCATATTGGTGCAGTCATTCGCCTGGCAGCTAGTGGAGGGAGACTGCTCCAGCCAAGCCACCCTTGAGCTGATATCCCCAACATCATGCAACTCTAAATATTTATTGGGATTTATCAACTTAGGACTGGCCTCCCTAAGGCTTTTCCCTCTACCCCTCCTTCTGACTGTCACCCAGCTGCCTACATCTGGCTCTTGTACCTCCATATCCCCATCCCTCTCTATACTGGCCCCCACCAGTACCTGCTGGGTAATGTCCAAGCTCCTTTCTAGGTTGTTGATGCTTCGCAGTGTTGCCACCGGATTTTTTAAATCAAGGATCTGGGCTTCCAGAGAAACAACTAGCTCACACCTCACACAGCAGTATTCGCCCTCGCTCAAACGGCTCTTCAAGGAAAGCATACAAGGAGCAAGATGTGCACTGGGTTGCGTTATCAATTCTGTTTGACATTTTATCCATTTTCTAATGGGGATAACCAAGGAAAAATAAATAATTACAATTAAAAATGTTTTTGTTTTTTTTTTCAGTTTTTATTTGTGTGTATATATATATATATATATATATATATATATACATACACATATACACACAGTGGGGAAAATAATTATTTGATCCCCTGCAGATTTTGAAAGTTTTCCCACTTACAAAGAAATGAAGGGTCTATAATTTTTATCATAGGTGTATTTTAAATAACGGAGACAGAATATCAACCAAAAATCCAGAAAAACGCATTATACGAATGTTATAAATTGAGTTGCAGTTCTGTGAGTAAAATAAGTACTGTATTTGAACCCCAAGCAAAACATAACTTAGTACTTGGTGGAGAAACCATTGTTGTTGGCAAGAACAGAGGAGAGGTAAGATGTTTCTTGTAGTTGGTTCCCAGGTTTGCACATATCTCAAGGGGGGAATTTGGTCCACTCTTCTTTACAGATCTTCTCTAAATCCTTAAGGTTTCATGGCTGTCGCTTGGCAACTTGAAGTTTCAGCTCCCTCCATACATTTTCTATAGGATTAAGGTCTGGAGACTGGCTAGGCCACTCCATGACCTTATTGTGCTTCTTCTCTCTCTCACCCAATCTGAAATTCTGGTCACCTTGTTCTGTTCCTTTTCGAAGTATGGATACTTTTTCAGTTCAAGGATGCATTTTTTATTGCGGTTTGTGTCACCACCGAGGAGACTTCTTCCCATCATTGGAACAGCAAGCAAAGTTCTGTCTGCAGTTTTTTTGGCTGGAGCTATCCCTTAGTACAGACAGTGGATGAACATATACAGTATATCAGATGGATTTGTCTGGCAGGTTTCTAGGAACATTCCAATAAAAGGACAGGGGAGGTCAGACCTCCAGGAACAGTACTCTATGGTCTTCTAACCAGTGTTCTTTATTCAGTAAAGGAACAGAATTGCCCACCATGGAGAATCAGAGAGATTCCAGCAACAGAACTGAAGTATGGAGATGTGGAGAGCACCAGCAACCGCTACAAAATGTACAAAGGAATGTACAACAACAACTTCGTACTGATCAAAGTCGTGCTGGGGGAACTGGAGACCGACAATGAGTAAGTCACCCTGGAGGGACAAAGGGCAGTGACAAGACAGACACCCAGAGTAGCCAATCACAAATCTTTTAGTAACTGATCTGATAGCAGTAGGTGCTAAATGATTGGTATGGGCACTCCAGTCTGCTCATTGTCATTATTGTCCTGCCCCATGGAGCACATCTAATTATGGAATGACACTCTTATCCTTCGATGAATACATTATATTATCAGTAATTTCATATCTTATCCAGGGTGGTAAAGAGTGCATTCTTGAAAGAGTGTGAGACCATGAAGAAATATGAAAGTCCCAACATTCTGCAGGTTTTTGGCATTTGTATTGAAAATATGAGTGAGTAAAATAATTTACGTTCCATGTAACATTAAAACATGTCTGTCTGTGTCTATTCCTGTGCTCTTCTTTTCTTTGTTCTAGTCTCCAGGATCTGTTCCTGTCCTTTTCTCTGTCCTGATTTGCTTGTCTCTGTCCTGTTCTCTTCCTCTGTCTGCATATAAAGTATTTTCCTGTCCTATCTCCCTACTTCTCTGTGCAACTCTCTGTTCTGGTCTCCAGATTCTGTTCCTTTGTCCTTGTGCTTCTCTGTCCTTATTTTCTATGTCTGTTCCTGTCCTTACTCTCTGTTCTGAGTTCCTTGTCTCTGTCCTGTTCTCCTCCTCTATCCATATCTACTGTCTTTGTTCCTGCCCTATCTTTCCCTCTCCCCTCCCACTAGTGCAACGCTTTGTTCCTTACTAAAATATCTGTTTCTGTCCTCCTTCTCTTATAATATGACTGTTGTAGTCATCCTCTCTGTTCTGCTTCCTAGTATCTGACCCAGTCCTCTGTTGTGCTGTCCTTGTCTTTTGCCCATCCTTCTCTTCCTCTGCCCTCATCTACTCCCTTTGTTCATGTCTCCCTTCTCTGTCTAAATGTTTTGTTTGTTCCTGTCCTGCTCCTCTTTCTGTTCTGCACTGTATATCTATTCCCATCCTTCGCTGTCCTGATGACCTTGTCTGTAGCTCCGTCTTCCTCCTCTGCCCTCATCTACTGTCTTTGTTCCAGTCCTCCTTCTCTGTCCTCATATTCTTCAACTGTTCCTGTCCTCCTTCTCTCCCTGTTTTGCTTTCTAACATCTGTTCCTGTCTTTCTCTGCCTGATTTCATTGTCTCTGTCTTGTCATCCTGTTCTTTACTTGTCTACTGTCTTTATTCTGTCCTCTTTTTGTCTCTCTTCCTCTGTGCAACTCTCTGTTTTGGTCTCCTACATGTGTTCCTATCCTCCTTCCTCATGAAATATTGTCTATATTCCTGTCCATCTCCTCTGTCTGTTCTGCTTTCAAGTATCCATCCATGTTTTTCTCTTACTCAATTTTCTTGTCTCTAGCATGTCCTCCTCTGTCCTCAACTACTGTCTTTGTTCCTGTCCTCCTCCTCTGTGCTCATCTACAGTCTTTGTTACTGGCCTCCTCTTCTGTCTTTGTTCCTGGCCTCCTCCACTGTCCTCAGTTACAGATTTTGTTCCTGGGCTCCTCCTCTGTCCTCATCTACTGTCTTTGTTCCTGGCCTCCTCCTCTGTCTTCACAGTTTTTCTTGTTTCTGGCCTCCTCCTCTGTCCTCATCTACTGTCTTTATTCCTGGCTTCCTCCTCTGTCCTCATCTACAGTCTTTGTTCCTGACCTCCTCCTCTGTCCTCATCTACAGTCTTACTGTTCCTCATCTACTGTCTTTATTCCTCTTCCTCCTCTGTCCTCATCTACAGTCTTTGTTCCTGGCCTTCTCTGTCCTCATCTACAGTCTTTGTTCCTCTCCTCATCTGCAGTCTTTGTTCCTGGCCTCCTCCTCTGTCCTCATCTACAGTCTTTGTTCCTGACCTCTCCTCTGTCCTCATCTGCAGTCTTTGTTCCTGTCTTTGTTCCATGACCTTCTCCTCTCCTCTGTCCTCATCTACAGTCTTTGTTCATGGCCTCCTCCTCTGTCCTCATCTACAGTCTTTGTTTCTGGTCTCCTCCTCCATCCTAATCTACTGTTTTGTTCTGGTCTTCCTTCTCTGTTCTTATATTCTTAGTCTGTTCCTGCCCTTATATTTCTGTTCTGCTTTCCAATATCTGTTCCAATCCTTCTTCTCTGTTCTGATTTATTTGACTTTGTACTGTTCTCCTTCTCTGTCCTTATCCACTGTCTTTGTTCCTGTCCTTACTCTCTCTCTCCTCTGTGCAGCTCTCTTTTCTGGTCTCCTATGTCTGTTCCTGTCCTCCCGCTCTGTTTACATCTTCTATCTCTATCATTTTCTCTCTTTTCCTCTGTTCTGTTCTCTGATGTTTGCCTCTGTCCTCATTCTCTGTCTGGATTTCCTTTTTCTACCCTTCTCTGTTCTGTGCATCTCTCATCAACTCACGCCTCTACTCCTGTCCTCCACATCTATGCAGTTATCCTCATCTCTCCAATATTTATTTATTTATTTCAGGTACTTATATAGCGCCGTCAATTTACACATCGCTTCACATATATATTGTGCATTCACATCAGTCCCAATGTACAATCTAAGGTCCATAACTCACATGCATACACATACTAGGGCCAATCTAGACAGGATCCAATTAACCTACCAGCATGTCTTTGGAGTGTGGGAGGAAACCGGAGTACCCGGGGGAAAACCCACGCAGTCACAGGGAGAACATGCAAACTCTAGGCAGGTGTGCCGTGGTTGGGACATTCGAACCAGCGACCCTAGTACTGCCAAGCGGAAGTGCTAACCATTTAGCCACTGTGCTGCCCACATCAGTTCCTGTCCTCCTTTGTCTAGGTCTCCTGCCCCCTTTCCTACTTTTCTCTTTTCTTATTTCTCTCTCTCTGTTCTTGTTTTTATGGTTTCTCTGTCCTACCTTTGTGTTCTTATTTCCTTCTCTGTTCCTGTCCTTGACTGTCCTGATTTTCTTCCTCCTTCTCTCCTCCTCTCTGCAGCCTTCTGTCCTTGTCAGTTGTTTTCATCCTCATCCTCTCTGCAGCCCTCTGCATCTGTTTTCATCCTCATCCTCTCTGCAGCCCTCTGTCCTTGTCATCTTTTTTCATCCTCATCCTCGCTGCAGCCCTCTGTCCTTGTCATCTGTTCTCATCCTTCCTCTCTGCAGCCCTCTGTTCCTTGTCATCTTTTTTCATCCTCATCCTCTCTGCAGCCCTCTGTCCTTGTCATCTTTTTTCATCCTCATCCTCGCTGCAGCCCTCTGTTCTTGTCATCTGTTCTTCCTCATCCTCATCTGTTTTCATCTCATCCTCACTGCAGCCCTCTGTCCTTGTCATCTGTTTTCATACTCATCATCCCTTGTCATCCCTTATCCTCTCTGCAGCCCTCTGTCCTTGTCAACTGTTTGTCATTTATTATCTTCATTCTCTCTTCAGCATCCTCTTCTAGTCACATGTCTCTGCTCCCATCCTTGTCCTCTTTCCCCTTATTGGGAGTTTGTTGTCCCGGTTACCTGTTCTCATCCTCATCCTTTCTCCTCCTCTGTTCCAGGTAATGGACCCCGCTACTCTCTGGTGACAGAGTACTGTGAGAAAGGGACATTACGTGACATGCTACAAAGGGAGAAGGACCTGAATTGGGAGCAGAAACTCATGATGGTTCTTGATGCCACCAGCGCTCTGTACTGGTGCGCTTTATTTTGTTCTCATTATGGCTATGCAGTCTTATTGGTGTCATTCAGAGTGCAGATGAATTGGCTGATCTTGCTGGAATAGTGTCATTTTTCACACTTTGTTCCTGATTTCCAGCATACACCCGTAAAATGTCGAAGACCATCTACCGTTTAGGCAGGAAAATGGTTCAGGAGTCAGAGAAGAAAACCATTCTCCATGGGAGTCTGAGCAGCCACAAGTACCTGGTGAAAGGACTGCCTGAAGGTATTCTATCCCTCTCCCAACAGCTTCTCTATGTTGTGGAGTTCAGCCATTACCACTTGTCCTATGGGGGGATATGAATATGTGAATATTATAACAGCATGCTCTCCAGGTGTGAGAACAGCAACTACATTTTTTTAAAACTTTTTTTTTCCTCTTGCTGGCGCTTGGATGTGTCAATTTGACATAAAAATATTCCAACACATTGATTTTTTTCCAGGTATACATCTGACGTGTTTGAACAAATGTTGCTCATAGTTTTCTAGGTATACATCATCTCCTGTGAAATTGTATACGGTATCATATATATATATATATATATATATATATATATGCTGTAAAGGGGTTTACCCCCCTAGGTTTATCACAAACACATGGTAAAGGGCTCCAGGGTTTATGACTGACATGGAGAAAACAAAACTTTTGTTTTCTCAGGCTCTTAAGTTATGGTTTGGGTCCTGGAGGCCGAGGGCTTTGTAGTGCTTTGGTAACCAGCCTCATTATTAGCCTCATTGGTGACCTGTAGATGATCAGGGATCTTCCTTCCTTTATATATATATATATATATATATACAGTTGTGTCCAAAATTATTCAACCCCCAATGCTGTAAAGGGGTTTAGGGACTATAGTGTACATTTGGAATTGTATTCAGAATCAAATCCTACAAGGACGTTGTATCAATTGTTTTATGTAATACAGTAGTAATGGTTCTTATAGTGGTTTCTCATTGCCACAATTATTCAACCCTTAAAGACTACCACTCTGAAGAACAGAGGTTCATACAGGTGCTTTCCATCAGGTATTGAAAACACCTGTGGATGTCACCGAGCATCAGGGATCTTCCTTTCCTTCTCCATAATAATATAGAGTCGATATATATATATATATTGTGGGATATATGATATAATATATATGTGAGGAGGAAGAACCTACTGATGATCAGGGATCTCTCTCTCTCTCACTTCTTTATACATGTGGATCTTACTGATGATCAGGATCTCTCTCTCTCTCTCTCTCTCCTTTATATATGTGTGATCCCGATGATCAGGGATCTCTCTTTTTAAAAAAAGCTTTATATATGTGATCTGACTGATGAATGATCAAGGATCTCTCTCTCTTCTTTAATATAAGCACAGGTGAAACTCGAAAAATTAGAATATAGTGCAAACGTTCATTTATTTTAGTAATGCAACTTAAAAGGTGAAACTAAGATATGAGATAGACTCATTACATGCAAAGCAAGATAGTTCAAGCCGTGATTTGTCATCATTGTGATGATTATGGCTTACAGCTCATGAAAACCCCAAATCCACAATCTCAGAAAATGAGAATATTGTGAAAAGGTGCAATATTCTAAGCTCAAAGTGTCCCACTCTAATCAGCTAATTAAGCCATATCACCTGCAAAGGGTTCCTGAGCCTTTAAATGGTCTCTCTGTCTGGTTCAGTAGGAATCACAATCATGGGAAAGACTGCTGACCTGACAGTTGTGCAGAAAACCATCATTGACACCCTCCATAAGGAGGGAAAGCCTCAAAAGGGAATTGCAAAAGAAGCTGGATGTTCCCAAAGTGCTGTATCAAAGCACATTATTAGAAGGTTATGTGGAAGGGAAAAGTGTGGAAGAAAAAGGTGCACAAGCAGCAGGGATGACCGCAGACTGGAGAGGATTGTCAGGAAAAGGCCATTCAAAAGTGTTGGGGACTTTCACAAGGAGTGGACTGAGGCTGGAGTCAGTGCATCAAGAGCTACCACACACAGACAGATCCTGGACATGGGCTTCAAATGTCGTATTCCTCTTGTCAAGCCACTCCTGAACAACAAACAACGTCAGAAGCGTCTTACCTGGGCTAAAGAATAACAGACCTGGTCTGTTGCTCAGTGGTCCAAAGTCCTCTTTTCTGAGGAGAGCAACTTTTGCATCTCATTTGGAAACCAAGGAGTATGGAGGAAGAATGGAGAGGCACACACTGCAAGATGCTTGAAGTCCAGTGTGAAGTTTCCACAGTCTGTGTTGATTTGGGGAGCCATGTCATCTGCTGGTGTTGGTCCACTGTGCTTCATTAAGTCCAGGGTCAACGCAGCCGTCTACCAGGAGATTTTGGAGCACTTCATGCTTCCTTCCGCAGATGAGCTTTATGGGGATGCTGACTTCATATTCCAGCAGGTCTTGGCACCCACACTGCCAAAAGCACCAAAACCTGGTTCAATGACCGTGGGATTATTGTGCTTGATTGGCCAGCAAACTCGCCTGACCTGAACCCCATAGAGACTCTATGGGGCATTGCCAAGAGAAAGATGAGAGACATGAGACCGAACAATGCAGAAGAGCTGAAGGCTGCTATTGAAGCATCCTGGTCTTCCATAACACCTCACCAGTGCCACAGGCTGATAGCTTCCATGCCACGACGCATTGAGGCAGTAATTGCTGCAAAAGGGGCCCAAACCAAGTACTGAGTACATATGCATGCTTCTACTTTTCAGAGGTCCGCTTTTGTTCTATGTACAATCCTTGTTTTATTGATTGCATGTAATATTCTAATTTTCTGAGATTGTGGATTTGGGGTTTTCATGAGCTGTAAGCCATAATCATCACAATGATGACAAATCACGGCTTGCACTATCTTGCTTTGCATGTAATGAGTCTATCTCATATATTAGTTTCACCTTTTAAGTTGCTGCACTGAAATAAATGAACTTTTGCACGATATTCTAATTTTTCGAGTTTGACCTGTATGTGACCTGACTGATGATCAGAACTCTTTCTTCTTTATATATGTGATCTAACTGAAGATCGGGAATCTCTTCTTTATGTAACGCCCTCTGGATTTAGCTAGATAGGATTTTTGTTAGTCGGAGGCTGAGTAGCAGCTTGGCATGAGTCAGACTGGGAGTGAGGTAGTGAGTTCACCTCAGGACAGGGTGGGAGGCTCTAATAGGTCATGGCTTCTGGAGCCTATCCACCTTTCCAGAAACCTGAGAGCTTTATGGAAGAAGAGGGGAGGTGGCAAGCTTAAGGACTGTTTATTGGCACCAGTGTGTAAAGTTTAAAAATGCGTATTGCCTGGCCATTCAGAGCATAGAAGGACCCATACCAAATCCAGCAGCCCTTACGAGTGTAGTGCTATATTTATACAGTGGGGAGAATAATTATTTGATCCCATGCAGATATTGTAAGTTTGTCCACTTACAAAGAAATGAATGGTCTATAATTTCTATCATAGGTGTATTTTAAATGATAGAGACAGTACATCAATCAAAAATCGAGAAAAAAACACATGATACAAATGTTATAAATTGAGTTGCAGTTCAGTGAGTATAATAAGTATTTGATCCCCTACCAACCACCAATAATTCTGGATCCCACAGACTGGCTATTTGCTCATGTGGTACACAGATTAGTCCTGTCAATTTAAGAAGGTGCTCCTAATGACAATTCGTTATGTGTATGAAAGACATCTGTCCACAGAATCTCTTTCTTGGGCACCACCATGGGCAAGACCAAAGAGCTGTCAAAGGACGTCAGGGACAAGATTGTAGACTTGCACAATCTGTAGACCCGGTAAAGGCTGACGTGAGCGACAACACCATCAGCAAGAAGCTTGGTGAGAAGGAGACAACTTGGAGCAATTATTTGCAAATTGAAGAGATATAAAATAACCATCAATCACATTCAGTCCGAAGCTCCATGCAAGATTTCTCCTCATGGGGTAAGGATGATCATGAAAAAAGTGAGGGATCAGCCCAGACCTACACAGGAAGACCTTGTGAATGATCTCAAGGCAGTTGGAAGCACACTCACCAAACAAACCATTGGTAACCCAATACACCGCCATGGATTGAAATCCTGCAGCGTCCGCAAGGTCCCCCTCCTCAAGAAGGCACATATACAGGTCCATCTGAAATTTGCCAATGAACATCTAAATGATTCAGAGAACGACTGGGAGAAAGTGCTGTGGTCAGATGAGACCAAAATTCAGCTATTTGGCATTAACTCGACTTGCCATGTTTGGAGGAAGGAAAATGCTGACTATGACCCTAAGAACACCATCCTTACAGTTAACCATGGAGGTGGAAACATTAGCTTTGAGGCTATTTTTCTGCTAAAGATAAAGGGGCCAATGGACGGGGCCATGCATTGTAAAATCTTGGATGAGAACCTTCTTCCCTCAGCCAGAACACTGAAGATGGGTCATGGATGGGTCTAGCTGCATGACAATGACCCAAAATATATACCGCCAAGGTAAAAGGGAATGGCTCAAGAAGCAGATTGAGGTCATGGCGTGGCCTAGCCAGTCTCCAGACCTTAATCCTATAGAAAATGTATGAAGGGAGCTGAAACTTTGAGTTGCCAAGAGACAGCCAAGAAACCTTAAGGATTTAGAGAAGATCTGTAAAGAAGAGTGGACCAAAATCCCTCCTGAGATGTGTGCAAACCTGGGAACCTATTACAAGAATTGCCTTACCTCTGTGGTTGCCAACAAGGGTTTCTACACCAAGTACTAAGTCTTTAAAGTACTATCCCCAAGTACTATGTTTTGCTTGGGGATCAAATACTTATTTTACTCACTAAACTGCAAATCAATTTATAACATTTGTATCATGTGTTTTTTCTGGATTTTTGGTTGATATTCTGTCTCTATCATTTAAAATACATCTATGATACAAATGATAGATCCTTCATTTCTTTGTAAGTGGGTAAACTTAAAAATCTGCAGGGGATCAAATAATTATTTTCCCCACTGTATATG